CCCCAAAACCCCAAAACCCCAAAACCCCAAAACCCCAATTATTATAGTTAAGATTGGAAAAGATCAAATTAATATTTATAAATTACGTAATCATGGAAGCCAGCAAACCTTTGAAAGGAATCACTGTTCTAGAGTTTGAAGGGTACCCTCCACTTACATTCTGAGGGCTGATGCTAGCTGAATTGGGAGCAACTGTAATCCATGTGGGGAAAAAGAAGCCTGTACCTGTTCTAGATACTCTCAGTAAAGGAAAATCAATCATAATTAACTTAAAATAAGCTAGAGGGGGAGAACTCAAGGCAGATTATTCTTGACTTATTACCTAAAATAGATGTTATAATTGAAGGCTACAGACCTGGAACAATGGAGAAGCTTGGCCTTGGTCCTGAAGATGTGAAACAAGCGACTGCTCAGAAGAATTCAGTAGACTTTGTGCAACTCAAAAGAAACAAGAAATTTCCGGACCAAAGTTTAGGCCATATAAAATAAAGATATCTTGTATTGCAGACTCTCAGGGTTTGGACAAGAAGGTGAAAATCATCTAATTGCTGGTCATGATTTGAGCTACCTAGCCAAAGCAGGGATTCTAAAATACATTAGAAGATACGGGTATAATACTAAAGATAATCCATCGAAGGATAAGCCTGTTATTCCGTTCAATTTAGTAGCAGATTTCTTAGCAGGAAGTACTCTAATGTTCTCACAGATCTTAAAGAAACTTGCTGAAATGAAAGTTGGTGGGATAACTGATCCTGGCATTATTGATACAGGGTTGACTCAGAATTCAGCTTATTTGTTCAAGGATATTCTGTCAAAAGATGAGAAGCTAGATGAGCATGATTTATGCCAGCATCCTCTAAATACAGTGTATTGATCCTCTGATAAGCATTATTTTGCGATTTGTTTTAACAAACTAGATGCTAGCTCTCCTGATGTTCAGGAAGAAATAATTGACCTGTTATCCCAGTTTGGGTATGAGCGGTCTTTCTTATCTCTAGAATCAATGGAAAAGTTCTTTTTGTCCAAAAAGATTTCTAATATCTTCACAATTTTTAAAGGATACCCTGTAGTGCCAGTGATAATCCCTACTGATGTTCTTAAGCAAGATGACAAGATACTCGAAAGTTATGCTCTAAGAGAAACCATCATGGATCTTATCTCAGAGAGATACTCTAGTATTAGCAAAGATGGGAAAGATCTTGAGCCGCTGCCTTCTTATTATACCTCCCGGAAGGGTTTTCAGAAGCAAAGAAGTATAATTAGGGGAGCTGACTATGATTACATCAAAGCGAAATTCTTGGCAAAGATATAAATTCAATAATAGCTATTGTTTTAGGGGTTTTGGGGTTTTGGGGTTTTGGGGTTTTGGGG